AAGGGAGCAGGCCTACGCTACAATATGGCCGACAGGAAGTGACGCCAGCGAGGGGAAGGTTGGCAATGGTGGGAAAGGGAGCAGGCCTATGCTACAATATGGCCTACAGGAAGTGACGCCATCGAGGGGAAGGTTGGCAATGGTGGGGAGAGGGAGCAGGCCCACGCTACAATATGGCCGACAGGAAGTAATGCCCGTGAGGGGAAGGTTGGCAGGGCAGGGGAGGGGAGCAGGCCTACACTACAATATGGCCGACAGGAAGTGACAGCAGCGAGGGGAAGGTTGGCAATGGTGGGAAAGGGAGCAGGCCCACGCTACAATATGGCCGACAGGAAGTAATGCCCGCGAGGGGAAGGTTGGCAGGGCAGGGGAGGGGAGCAGGCCTACGCTACAATATGGCCGACAGGAAGTGACGCCATCGAGGGGAAGGGACCTGCAATGCAAGATGGCCACCGGGCAGGGGGGCAAAGGGGGCTCCCCCACAGGAAATGGAGTGGCGGGGGAGGGGCAGCACCCCACACTTGGCGGGGGCTATTTCGTCTCCGCCTTCTTGTTCTTCTTGTTGAGGATCTTCATGAGGGAGGTCGACATGTAGTACGGCTTCTCCACCGAGCCGTCGTTCCGCTCCAGGTCCTCCACTGGGGGGAGACAGAGAGCGGGTCAGCTCCCGCTCTGCGCCCCGGCCGTGGGGCGGGCTGGGGGGCGGGGCGGGCTGGGGGGCACTCACGGAAGCAGAGGAAAAGGGTGTCCACACACATGCTGTAGACGCTGAAGAAGCCCTGGGCGATCAGGTAGGCGCCCACCACCACCGTCTGCAAGGGGGAGATGGGGGTCAGCGGGGAGGGGGCAGCCCAGATCCTGACCCCCAAGGGAGACCACCCCAGATCCCGGGCCAGGCCCCCACCCCCAAGGGAGACCCCTACCTAGAGCTGAGATGCCACCACCCCAGGTCCCAAATCTCACCCCCAAACTCCAGACCCACACCCAGGGCAGGAGCCCCCACCTCCATATCCTGGATCCACCCCGCCCATGCCCCCAGGTCCTGAGCGCCCCCCCCCCCCCCCGGCGGGAGGCACGTACCAGGATGGGCAGCCAGTAGTAGTTGAGGGAGGGCGAGCGGAACCGGGGGTCGGAGATCTCGATCCGGCCTGAGAAGAAGAAGAACCCAAGGACCCCGACGCCCCCCACCACCAGCAGCTTCCCAAAGAGCAGCAGCAGGTCAGTCACCTTATCCAGCACCACCACCCTGCAGGGAGGAGAGAACCCAGGAGTCCTGGCACCCAGCCCCCGCTCCCCTCCCAGAGCCGGGGAGAGAACCCCAGAGTCCTGGCTCCCAGCCCCCCC